CTATAGGACTGTCCCACACTAAGTAGACATAACATCTATTAGTAATAGTGAGAGTCTATCTATAAGATAGAAGAAAACACACTGTGTGGTGATCACAAAGTATATTATATATAACGAGATCGAGTAACCGTAAAATATCGTCAACAGACGTTGATTGAACACCTACGTCATGATTATACTTATCAGGAACCTGATTGTGATAGTACTAACTGTTATTCCAGTTCTTTTAACAGTATTTATATAGCAGAAGATTTTTAATGAATCTTTTCTTACAGTTATAAGAAGAGATAATGAATCAAGTTAAGTTTATTATTAAGAAAGTTATATGTTATAATTATAATAAGTTCAAAATAGTTTTATTAACAAAGCTTCTTTATTACTATATTTTTTACTATTGCTGCCTTAGTCAATGCTCTACACATAAATTATACAAGTATATAATACAAGAATAATAATATTATATAAATTATTTTAAGTCTATAATCAAAACTATATTAAGAATTAAAGGATAATTATAAGGTATTTAATAAGTGAATTTGTTATTAAGAACTTGTTATGTTACTTTCTTATATGATGATTTTTTTTAAAACTTGTTTTTTTGCTATCAAGTAAAGTACTACTTATATATAAAATTGATTGTTGCAAAAATCTCTAAATATTTATAACAATAAACTAGCAAAATCTCTATAATTCTAAAGATTAATGTTTCAAAATATCAACAGTTTGATATCTCTAATGATCAATAGTTCAAAATATTAAAGATTCAATATATCTGTCACATTAATATATAATATATGTAATAATAAGCCCAAAAATAATTAATCAATAAAATTAAAAATAAATATTGTCCAATAAAATATACTATACGAAATGTTCAATAAAAATAAATTAAATAATTGTCCAATAAAATATAACAAACAAAATATACTATAACATTATTTAATAAAGAAATATTATAATTTATTAATTAATAACCAAATTATTATATCTTAAAGAAACTTGATTTTAAATAATTTATTTTATATATAAATTATTATAATATTATTTGTTAGAATTTTGGTATTATTTATATAATTTAATTAATAATTATCAATTTGTAATAATCTAAATTTATTATTCAATTATAATATATATTATTCTATTATTGAAAGTTAATATTATGTGAATGATTATAATTTATTTCTAATATTATGATATGAATTTATTATCCAATTATAATATATGATATTCTATTATTAGAAGATAATATTTATAATTTATTATTAATATCTAAAAATGATAATTAATCAAATACTAACTCTTCAAATATCTTATTTTAAATGAAAAATGTGATTTTATATATTGTTTTATAACCAATTAATATATCTAATTAATTAATATAAAGATAATTACTGAAATAATGTCATTTAATTAAATAATTTACTAAAATTAACTTGCTAAAATTAAATTTGAAATTATTTTGACTTATTTTATTAATAGTCAATATTGTTTTCTGAAATTATTTGAATTCTATAAACCAAAACAAGCATTTTTAGATGATTTTTAAATATTCATTAATATAAGCAACATAACAAAACTGAATTATTTGCTGAAATATCATTTTTTTCAAAAATAATTTAGAAAATTATTTTTAAATTAATATATCTGATCATTTAGAAGATTAATGAATTTTTATTGCTAATTAAAATAATATATCTATATAATAAAAATACTATTTCAAATATAAAAATATAAAAGAGGATCATTAGTAAAATATTACTTCAAGGTAGTTCACATATATTTTTTATTTATAGATACATAAAACAATATGCATATTTCTTTTTTTGCAATATTACAATCTGGATTTATTCAAATCATATGAAAATTAATATTAAAAATTTAAAAACTAGAAATTACATTGTAAATTATTTTAATTCCTTAAATTAATAGTAATTATTAATTAGTCTAGATTTAATGTTGATTAATTTAATATAAATTGATATATGAATAAATAATACTTCTTTTGTAATATTTGAATTAAAGATGATCTTCTAAATTATTTTTGGAAAAAATGGTATTTTAGCAAATAATTTAGTTTTGCTATGTTGCTTATATTAATAAATACTTAAAAATCATCTAGAAATACTTGTTTTGGTTTGTAAAATTCAAATAATTTCAGAAAAAAATTTCAGCTACTAACAAAATAAGTTAAAACAATTTCAAATTTAATTTTGACAAATTATTTAATTAGATGATATCATTTTGGCAATCATCTTTAATCTAAATCTTTTTTTGTTATAGTAGTTCACTTGTTAATTATAATTTAGATAATTACTATATTTCATCTATTATTAATATTAATTACAAATACTTTAAATTATTAATAATTGCTAGAATATTCTATTAATAATATAATTTCTTATATATACATGCTATTATACTCTTGATAATAGTATAATTAATTATAATAAAGAAGTATTTAATTAAAATATAAACTGTTCTCTTATTGATTACATAAAAAATTCTTATATAATAATGACTTGATTTTATAACTTATTATTTGAATATATTTTTTTTCTATCAATTTCAAATATGAGTAAAAAAGATAATAATTTTACTTATATGCTGAAAACTAGAAATACTTAATTATATTCCAATATTATTACTATTAATATTTACTCTTAATCATTTATTGATATTCACTTCTAATTATAATAATTACAATATGCAATAATCAAACTCATCTGAATATTAAAACAATTCATACTTACTAAGAAGATATTATCAATATTCTATTCATTTACAACTAGAAGATATTAAATCATTAAATATTATTAAATTAATTTTATATTAATTATTTTATATTAATTTAGAATATTATCATCATTATTATGAAACTAATGAATATTTATTTGCTTAATATAAAGAGTTATTTCTTTTAATAAAAGAACTTAGTAATAATTTATATAATATTAAAAATGAAATTAAAAAATAGCATAATGATAAAGAAAAAAAATTCTCACTATGAATTTTTAATATATGTTTTTCATGATTGTTAAATCAAATCGAGTCAAATTGATTTTTATTAATATTTTAAATTAATAATCAAATTGATTTTTATTAATATGAATATTTAGTTCTTATTTTATTAATTAATTCATATTATAAATTTAATTGAATGATATTTTATTATATTCTATTGGTTAATTTCATATTTATATTTTATTGGATAGTTATTTTTAAATAGTTGTTATTTTATTGAACAATTATATGTTAGATATTATTAGTTCTTAGATTTGTGTTAATTAATCTATATACCAAATTTGATTGATATTAATAATGAAATTTATGTAACATTAGAGCAAGTGATGCACAACTATCAAGTGAACGAGCAATGTATAACCATCAAGCGAGCACTTTTTGTAATCTTAATATCAATCAAAAATAGCTTTAATATTTGAAGATTGAGTAATTATAACTTGTATAAATATAGCTTGTATCTTAGCTTAAATCAACAGCAATAGCAATAGTTCTATAATTCTATAGCTCTCAGAATCTCAAGAATAATAAATAATAATTAAAAACATGTAATAAATTAATGATAAATTCACCTAATAATAAAATTATATTTTATTATTATTAAATTATGATTTTATAATGAAATTACATATTTATTACATAAAATCCTTTAAATTAAATACTATTATTAAAAATCCCAGGTCTTATTCTAGCTGATCATGTCATGAACACACTGTTATCTTGTTATAATCATAGTTTAATACTTGATGCATTATATAGATTTGATTATATTATACTCTTCCACCTGTTATTTTTAATAAACTTTACTATAATTACCTTGATCAAGTAACTTATTATAATGTTATTAAGCACTCTCCAACTCTTCCAAAGACTCATAAAATATGGTAACAATATTTAAATTTACTGGTTTTCTCAGTAACTGTAATATCGAATCGTTTAGAAAAAAGATACAGTGCTACCTTTTGTCTCTTGAGAGTATCGCCAGTACGGAGGAGGGACGAAGACGTGAAAAGGCACAACAGCTGATTATGAACTACAAGCAGGCAGGTGTTAAGAGTTTTTGCGTAAAAATTTTTGTTAGATAAATGACGTGTAGGAGACCCTACGAGCTTTCCTATCATTCAAGTCCTACGAGCCTAGCCATAAAGCTAGTGTTGGGGCACAGGTGACCCTACGAGCTTGCCTGTGTTCAAGTCCTACGAGCCGACCCGACACTAGCCCCTCCAGAACATAGATGACCCTACGAGATTGTCTGATATTCAGTCTTGATCCTGCCTGGGGGGGGGGGGATAAAGCAGATGGAATGAATGAGAACACAATATTAAAGGATAATACTAACCACTAAATCTCCCATGTCAGGGGCCAGACTACGATTTGTCAAGAGATTGGGAAGAGGAACATGAACCAGATAATGGGTCTTTGTTTACGTCCATCAACCAACATTCACAAGTGGCGGGATTAATAATAACATTAATATGAATGAAATTTCTAAGGGCGGAACTATCATTTCCGGATCGTCCGAAAGAATTATATTCAGAAGAGATCATGAGGTACAGATGTGTATGAGAATCGACAGAATGTGGCTGCCTGATAAAAGTAATCTAACTCTTTCTTTTTGTATTTAGTCCGATGATGATTTCCAACCTCCAAAAAAGCGGAAAAAAACAATTATCTCTTTCGAAAAAGGTCAGGATATTGATAAAATTTTATGTTGCCTTGAAGTTTATAGTGAACATGTTTTAGTGATTTATTATATCTACAGAATAAAGAGTCGGTTGGTTCAACCGCATCTAAGAAGGTTAGTATAGAATGCAACCCTATGATAAGGATTTATTCACGAAATTTCATAAAATTTTCTACTATCTGTTGCGTGAACAGGTCAAAACCACGAAGGATACGTCATCATCATCACCAGGAGGAGCAACAACACCACCAGAACCATCATCATCAAGTTCAGAGATACCAAGCGGTATAAACGAAGTTAATAGTCCCGGATATGGTAGACCACATACACCGCCTCATCAAATACACTCTACATCGAAGAATCAAGATTTACTTAGACGATTAAGAGGTGAGACACAACAAGCGAAATCCCCAATGTAGGTAAAACGGATAAAGTGTTTGTTAAATTCATGTATTATATTATTAACCAACTTATTGGCCCTGTTTATTATAGGGAACTCATTTGCTCGAACATAATGGATACCACAAATAAGCACTTAATGAAAAGACTAAAACTCAATCGTGATTATCATTGGGGGCCTATCATTAATGATACGACCAAATATATCGATGAACTGATTGAGAATGTAGGATTCAAGACTAATAAGTAATTCTTTCCTTTACAATCATAATCAATTTGACTTACTCTCCTTCCTATCTATTTCTGCCTTTTTAGAGTGATATTTGTAATGATCTTCGTCAGAAACTCCAAGCCCCATTCGTACCATCAGGGGAAATCTATTCATTTGACAAACATTACGAATTAAACTGGGTTCACCGGTTTTGCTGATAAATTGTGGGTTTAATGTGCTGTTTCGGACAGCATTTGCATATTTTATGTTGAATGTCTACATAGTATTTATATTCTGACACTCACATTTCCTTCTTATCCCTGCCACTAGGTTATCTTTTGGTGCCATTAATTGATGATTTTTTCCTAACATGTGAGGAGATTCAAGTTGATTTCTTAGCTTTTCGTCTTAGCATTCCATTCTAATTCTTTATTTTCTATTTCCAGCTATGAAGAAATGTCTCTGGCTTCGATTATGCGCAAGAATATACCAAGAGAGGAAACAGAAAAGAAGCAATTGTGACACAAAATCGATATTATTTTTCGTATAGATGATATGGAGTATTTCGGCGCGGAAACATTCATTGATGAAGATCCCCATAATTCGAAGCCGATTTCTTACAAGTACAAACTATTTAGGGAAATGAAAGATCAATTAGATCGTCTATTGAAGAAATTGAAATTCACGAAAGAAACGATAAAAAAGGTGGAAAGTATTGTTCTGCATGGAGGTAATTATGGAAATCTAGAGAAAAAACTTGTATCAAACGTTTTTTTATTATTATGAAAGTTAGTTAAAATCCATTTACATTCAAAAAAAGGTTTTAATGGAACAATGTACGCTATGCATTACGATGTGGATCTCAAATATTATTTTGTGTTTGAGTTGTGCCAATATCGAATTGGAACAACATTGATTGAGAAGTGTCCCAGAAAGTCTCGTTGCTCTAAAGGATGTGTTGCGATTGAAGGTACATTCCTATATATTGTCAAATTGCCGATTGAATTTCTAATCATTTCTTCCTGATGATTTAATTGGTGTCCTTGGTGTTGTCAAAGAAGTAAAGGCCAGAAAAGTTATTTATTATTGAGAATCTTCCAGAAACAACCACCACCCCCCAAAAAACCTCGAAAAAATAGTTTAGTTTGATGTTAGGGTAACGTTTTCATTTTGCAATAGGGAAGAAAATTATTACTTTGTGTTACGATTCTTATGACTGCATCATGTTACGGCACCCGTAAATTCTAGATTCTTAAAATATATAGCTCAGTCTTAGCAAAATTAATGTCTACTTGATCTGATTAACTGATTGCATATAATATAATTTATTTTTATGCGAGTTATTACCGGATAATCTTACCAAAAAATCTATATTTACAGTTATATGATTTTGATATTTTAAAATATCAATCATAAAATTTGATCCCTAAATCGAGCCATTTTTAAAGATATCGCTAAAATGCAAATCGAGAGAATATTAGTAGAGCTCAATTTAGTGACTACGTGATTTAGTGATGAATAATTAATCTCTCACTTCAACGATAAAAACCAAATATTCTCTATGTAGCATTATGAAAATTTCGCACAATTTAACGAATATCTTAATTTAACGATTTTTTCTTATGCTTCCCGACTCTTCGTTAAATCAAGCTGACTATTACTAAATTGAACATGATTTCAATAGTGATCCGTATATAATTACTAAGTTGAGCCCTCATTATATATAAGTCACATGATTTATAGTAATCATGTTTGGGGGGAGTCTTTCTATGAATGGAAATCAATCGATTAATGTCCTTACCCTTATCACCATTTTGTAATTTCAACATCAAAAATCAATTCAATAGCAATAATTATAACAGCAATCAACGCTTCATGAGTAGATAGCAATTTTGCCCGACATAAATATTGGTGATGTGACGATGATCACCTTCGAGCGCCATTAAAAGACCACCAAAAGATATGTAGACGCCACTACATCCAAAAAAGTTAATTTTCACAATCTCTTGCAGCATATAACAAAATAAACAAACAAAAAAAACATACACTCCCTTCGAACTCTTATCATCATACTTGTAAACCTTGCCAAACATGACATACTCATATTCGTCGGATAAGTCAACCTCGTCCGGACGTTTCTCTTGCCACGAGTCGCGTTCTTTTTCCTCTTGTTCTTTTTTACGTTTACGCTCGGCTTCCGAGTCGCTCATTGATATTGCCTTTGGTACCTCGGTTGGCAACGGATTAGATTCGAGGGACGAAGCGAGACATAATGAGACTCGATCACCAATGTCGAGTGGGTATAGTTCAATGTTGACGTCGAGTGTTAGTTCCATTTCATAGTTTTCGCTTCGAGCTACGAATCTTGATACTAGGAAATGAGTTTGTGAAAGCTTGTATACATTATGTTTAGCTATTTCTTCGAATACTTTCTCATGTACCTCTATCAAACTTCTTGCCATCACGATCCATATCGTTAATGTTGAAAACATCCAAAAACAAAATATTGCTCATTGGGAGATAAAGAATAAATAATACATGAAGATCAGTCTCGTAGTTAAAAATCAAATCAAATCATTTCACATGACTAACGTTTCTTGTCTGTTATAGCATTTATTGAAAATCGGCTATTTTGCAGGTTAAATTATATTAGATTTATTATAACGATAATGTAAACTAACAAATATAAACACTTTTGTAGTTCCTCATTCAATAATGGAGGTAACTATCATTTCTTCATCATTTTGTATTCTTCTAAAAACAATGTTTGATTCTAATTTCTTGGAAGAAACGTAACAAATCGATTATACATGATTCACAGTAATATGGAATGGTACTTGGCCATCTTCGTTAGAATAACCTAACGCTAAGAAATTAACCATTTGTGATCAAAAGGTTTCTATTTAATAAGTTTTTCTATTAATCACATTCAAGATACATATACATAATATATCTCACGCAGAGTCAATGTAATATTCAAAGAAGCATTTGGATTGTTATTATCCTTTTTTTGTTATAACCAAACCACGCGACATTTTATGATACATAATATATTTAATATATTTGTTAATCGTCATTTATCAACCAAGTGAAATACATAAATGCATTCACAGAAATAGTCACTTTTATTACGTATGAAATCCAATCTTACGTAATTAACTCATGCTTCGCTCATATATATCGATATAAGTTATTTTATCGAAAGCCAAATACGAAATTTTCCATATCAAAAAGAATTATACTTAACATGGTAAATAAATCTAGTTTATTTTATGGTTAAAGAACGTTAACGTCTTCTCGTATTTTAAATGTACCTTGTGATATTAAACAAGTTTAGAGGATATGAAAGTTTTGAACAAGGGCTGGCAGGCTTTGGGCTTGCGCGTAGTAATCCAGACCGCGGGTTCACCGAAATGTATCGGTGCTATTCTGTAATTATGATGCAAGGAAACGAAAGACAAAATGTAAATTTTGGTGGAAAGAGTAAGTGAGAAACATTATTTATCTTTGGGGTGTGTGTGTGGCTTTAATAAATGGTTTTATGCAATGCAAGGTTTTAATGAACTAAAATAAGTGCATTTTTTCGATCTTGATCCTCCAGTATTTATATCAAATAATGTCTAACGAATGTTATACACAATTTGATTTCTTAGTTATCCTTCCTCCTTCCGCTTTGGAAAAATTAGGTAATGATAATTTTGATCTGGGTCATATAATTTCGAAAAAACGATATAATAATTTTCTACGAATACGTTAATAATCTAGCAAGTTTGAACATTGAGTATCCAATGTTATTTGAGCTACGTAATGCCAATAAACAGCGTCATTCACATGCCGGAGTACTAGAGTTTATCGCGGAAGAAGGACGTGTCTATTTGCCTCATTGGGTAATTAATTAGTTGTTTGATCAATTTATTTTTGTTCTGCCACGTAGATTTATATTCTTTCATCTATTATTATATTAAACATAATTTAGATGATGCAAACACTACTACTGGAACAAGGTGATATAATTGAAATCAAGAATTCCACCTTACCATTAGGAAATTTCGTAAAGATTCAACCGCAGTCAGTAGAATTTCTTGATATCAGTGACCCTAAAGCCGTGTATGTTGTATTTTATTTGTCTTGATCAGTTAAGCTTTTCAAAAAATAACTACAATAGATTAATTGATTCAAAATTAAACAGTTTAGAGAATGCACTTAGGAATTTTGCAACGTTGACTCAAGGAGACATAATAGAAATCAGCTATAATTCTAAGATTTACGAGATATTGGTGTTGGAGGTTCGACCTCACAATAATGGTATTTCTATTTTGGAGACGGATTTAGAGGTGACTAATAGCGATTGATTTTGTTAATGTGTGTTTCGGGTGCTTGACGAAAAATTGAATTTGTATAATCAGGTCGACTTTGATCCACCAGTGGGATATGTTGAACCGAAACCACGACCAAAGACTATGGTATGTGGGCGAAGCAATCCTTCATATCATTTATTGCTTATTTATTTCACTAATTAGATGATAATAAATTAATTAGGCAGATAAAATGAAAATCGATGAACCAGACTCAGAACCGAAAGGTTGGTCGGCATTTACAGGAAGCGGCCAACGACTCAACGGAAAATCAGTAAAGATATCGGCACAAAAAGGATCTACGTCAAAAAAAAGGTAGCAAAAGCATCACTAATCACTTGTTTTATGATTTTTGATTATTGATTGTGCTCAAATATTTTCAGTGTTTCTGGAGCTACTGCTGCTGGAGCTGCTGCTCAACAACCGTCAGCCGAATCTCAAAAAATACCCGGTCCTTTGAATTTGCCTTTTGGAAAACTGTTCTTTGGGTATAATGTCGTCCCGCTTGGCGAGAAGAAAATTGATGATAATAATACCGAAAAAGTAAATATCTTTTTTTAACTGATGTGATATGTATTTATTCAACCTTGATATTATCATATTAATTTTTTACATTTAATTAACAGCCAGCTCTAGAGCCATTTTCTGGTGAAGGCCAGACACTACGAGCCAAAAAGCCTAGCAAGTCCGCATCGCCATCCAGTTCAGATGCAGGGCCATCGAAAAGCGAATGACAAAGCTTTGATGTTTTTCGCGATTACTAATAATAATTAAGTATGTAGAAAAATATTACATAATAAATTTGTATTTATAATTTGCTTGTTCAGTAAGGTTACTACGTACAAGTAAATCCTTTTTATTGATGATAAAAATTAGCTATGTACCAAGTATAGATTTGAGACATTCATTCAGATGATGAAAACTCGAGAAACTAGACAAATTTTCCATTCAAAGATAAAAAGCTAAACCAAACTAGTCTCAACTATATAAATGCAAAAAATTGTGATAATAAAAGTGAGCAGGGGATCAATAATTCATACTATAACTATACTAAAACAAAAATTTTCAAAATGATTGTAAGAGTATATGTGTGTGTGTATATATATATATATACTAAAAGATAACTCAGCAAATGTTCCAAAAAATAAATACAAGAAGTTTGTTTCGAAAATAGAAAATAAATAAACAATAAGTGAACTAGACCTAACTGACAACCAGGATAAAAAATTACATCGTAATCAGATTATGTATATATCGTCGTCTACCGATCGACAACCAATTAACCGCCCATAATTAAATCAAAAAACCGTAAATTTTCTTTATTACTCCTCCTAGCCGATTTATTAATTTATAGATTATTTATAGATTTTAATTATTTTTTACTTTGCGCCATTTCGACCCACTCCGCCACATACGAGAACCCACGAAATTCGTTTTGAGCCTCGGAGTTCAGATGACTATGTACCGGCGTTAGAACGGGTACTTCGCGTGTAAATTCTTCGTCGAAATTAGATGTATCGGTAGGTGATGACTAAAGAACAAAATTATATTGTATTAGCAGATATTTTATACAATAAACTAATAAGTTAATTAATGTATCTTCAAACTATTTGACTTACAATGCTGGGCAAAAATGGTGGCGGGACTTTTTTGCCGAGTATGTCATCCCAATTTACGCCTTTGAAAAATGGATGTCTTTTGATTTCTTCAGCATCGCTTTGTCCCGAACCAAGACGACGTTCTGGGTCTCGTGTTAGTAACTATTATTATTCATAAAGTAGAAGAAATTCATTTAATATGAAAATATTATATAATCAAACAGGACGACGATGACTCGAATTGAATGCAAACAAACCCTTTGTAATATGGACACAGAATCCCTCGACATATTAATAGGATAAAGAATCTCATCCTCCAAAATAGCATCAAATATTTCGTCTTCGTCATCACCTCGGAACGGCGACTGTCCCAACAACATTTCATAAATCAGAACACCAAAGGCCCACCAGTCGACGGCACGGCCGTACTTTTGTTCCAAAAGAATCTGAAAATGGTAAAATTACAATTGAATTCAAATATTCTATAGAATGTATATTATATTTTAGGGGAAATTACCTCTGGGGCCATAAATTCTGGTGTACCACAGAATGTATTAGTGGTATTTCCAAACCACATCTCCTCTTTACAAAGACCGTAATCGGCAATCTTGATATGACCATCAAGGGTCAGAAGAATATTATCCAGTTTCAGATCTCTGTATACGATACCCTGTTTATGGAAATACTCCAGGGCGAGTAATACTTCGGCGGCATAAAATCTTTTATCAAATAATTAATATTTATAGTAGAGTAATTAATGAATATATTACAATTACGGTTCAATGAAAATGTCTATCCCAATAATAAATACATACTGTGCTCGGCGATAAGTAAACTGTTCACGTTGTATATGCAACATTAAATCACCCCCGCTAACATACTCCATGACAAAATATATACGGGTTTCTGTCTGGAAACACGAGTGTAGTCCAACCAGGAATGGATGACGTTCTCGATTTGCTGCCTGGAAGACACGTTTCTCTGATCGAGTACTGCACAAATAAACATATTAATTCTTTTAATTTTTTTACAGATCATAGTAACAAAGAAAGTAAAACATTAGGTATTACACACCTTTCGACCTCATCATTTTCAATAATAAATTCTTTTTTCAAAACCTTTATAGCATAAAGTTGTTTGTTGTATTTCTCTTCGGCAAGCATTACCTAAATTGTATATTATTTAATTTAAAAACTGATAATAATACATAAAAAACCAATTTACTATTTTTCCGAAATTTAACTGACCTTGCCAAAATTACCTTTACCCAAAACAGCGAGGAAATTAAAATCTTCCAACCCAACCTTCCGTGGTTTCTTAACCGTATTATAGTCAGGCACTTTTGGAGGTGGCGGAGAAAATTGTTGTTGCTAAAAGACATTAATTAATATATTTAAGTATTATAAATATATAACATAAAATGCATAAATGATTTTAGATTATACACACTTGTATGATTTGCTGTTGATTTATAGGCGGCTGATTCATTGGCGGATAAGGTTCTTGTATTTGTAGTGGCGGTATCGCATTATCAATATGATAAATATCTGGTATCTGATTAACAGGAGGTGGATAAGGTTGTTGCTGTTGTTGTGATGATTGTGAGAACTGATGCTGATAATTCTGTTGAGATTGTTGTGGTATTGTCGATATAGGGTACTGAGGATGTTGTTGTGGTGGTGGTTGTATTAGTAATGACTGTGGCGGTTTATATTGATCCGGATGAATGAAGTTAAGTTTCTCTTCTTGACCTTTACGTTTCATTTCTTCCGATCTTTCACGCAGTATGGTGGCACGTTGTATTTGATCAATCATATCACTGGCACGTTTCATTGTCATTCCACAGAAATCGGGAACAAGATGGGTGCATGTCGCATGACAGGTAATATTACATTCTGATAATAAATAATATAATTAATTCCCAAAAAAAATTATTTATTATAGTAATAGTTTTTATTTTGTAAATACCGTAGCACCGTTTCGCTCCTCTTTTTCCCAATGGAAGCATATAGCCGCAATGACAACACCAATTAGCACTGATGTTTGTTATAGCTTCGAATCGATGAGGAATACGATGGTTAAGTTGTTTATAGTCACCATCCTAAGATAAAACATATAACATTTATAAATATCAAAAGAAATTACGAGTTTTCTATATTTTAATGGCCCAAAAATAACAATAGTAAACAAAATACCATCTCAGCATTAGCTTTCGATATACATTTTGTCACCATTTTTTGAAAACACCTTTTATGACAAGTCAGTTTACAATCTAAGTAATATAGAAAAATATAAGTCAGTCACTAAATGCAAAAAATGCAACCAATAAAAAAGAATGGGTATTTATTTACCATCACACTGAAATCCTTCATTAGCAAATAATTCTTCGCAATAAGCACATTTCATAATTTGATAGAAAAATTGTTGAATAAATTTGTGCCCGTTTTGCAAGTGAATTTCACCCTTCTTTTTTCGAAATGCTCCTAATCGAATAAGACCAGCATCAGCAGGTCGTTTTCGATTTTCTTTGACTAACAATTAAGGTGAAAATTAGACAAATAAAAAAAATTTAATAAGCAAATTCTAATACAGAAAAACTATGGATTGAAAATAAACATTAATTTACCAAAGTCAAGTTTGAGCCCTATCCGACCCACAGGCTCGACTTCAAACCACACATCAATTCCATCCGGTGGAGACGCTCCCTGAGGCTGCGTAGCAGGATACGGAATACCATATGCATCCCCAGGTCCCGGATTCGTATTATTATCCTGCTTTTCAAACCGATTATTTGCAGATACCCAATCAGGTGCACTTCCAGCCACCACTCTTTTCCTCCGTAGCTCTTCGGCAATATCAGAAATTTTAAACCATAGTAACCCAATTGGAACCTGATGATCTTGCGATTTATCATAAATTGTTATTTCAACTTCGCTTGCCTTCTCGACATGTATTGCAAAATCTTCATTCCAACGATCATTTCTTGCCACTCGTGTCTTTGCCTTTTGTACACCGTCGACCTTGATTACCACCGTTGTTTCCGTTGCTCGGACTGGAGGATGTGATAGATGTAACGCATGGTTCACACGAATAATTAGTTTTCCTGTGACTGGACGACGAAGACCAGGTTTTAGTAGTCCATTTGATCGATGATCGTCTTCATTCAAAGTTGCTTCTGTTGAATATAATCAATAAAATATATTTTTTAGTTTTGCTGGTTTTTAACGGCTTAAAAAAAACTATATGTTAAAGTATAATAAACTAAATGGATTGTAAAAAAATAATCAGACTCATAGTAACTTTAGCTCCAAAGAAAATTCTCGGAAGCTTCATTGATTATCTTGATGAGAATCTGGAAAACAGCCTTCACAGTTCGCACCTTTTTAGTTCTTGAAAACAAATCAGATGTATATAATCATGACAAAATAATACTTTGCAAGGCACTGAATTTGATTCCAACAACATAATTTATCTGGGTACGTATTGTGCCATTTGCTTTAACTAAATACAAATCCAAAAATAATAATAAAAAACTCACCGTCATCTTCCTCCGCTCCCGGAATATACAACTCTTTGTACTTATGCAAAGCCCGCGTCAACAACGCAATTTTCTCTTTACTCTCCAAAGTTTTACCTTTCACTTCGGCGATACTCTTTTTATTTTTTGGATCCTGAACCAGGACCGCAGTGCTCATTTTCAGAGAGCCTTCTAGCAATTTTTCTTCGACATAAAGCTTGAATTCAAGTTCATGAAGCTTCAACGCAACTTTTTCCGTGGAGTACGGTGTTTCCGATTTGATAAGATCTATGTAAAATCAATTTATTTTACAACTTTTTAGCATAAATTGGCTATATTACCATTTAAAAATAAAAAAGAATGGCAAAGAGTAAGGTGAAATCTCACCCAAATTTGACGTGGGTGCTTTTCGTTCCTGCTGTCCAGACTGAATTGGTGGAAGCTCCTGCAATTGATTTTGATTAGAGTCAAAGCCTCGGGTGGTTGGAGAATCGTACGTGAAAGATCCACTACCACCACTCATATACGGCGTAAACTGTGACGTTTCTTGCACGACAGTCTCGTTCGAGTAACTATCGCCCGAGTGAGGTCGCAGAGAAACAGGCGACGACGTCTGTGAACGCGTTTTCTGTCGAAGCTGCAACTTTCCCAGCTCTGTCTGTAGATACTCGATACGTCGTTGCGAATCTGCAATGTTTTGTTCACATTGAGCGTGCACTTTTGGATTAGAGGTTGAAGATTTCATCCGAACGGCACCATGGCGCATTTGCTCTTCTTTTTTTAATTTTTCATTAATGGCTTTGATTTTCGTTTCAATATCCTATAATTATGTACATAAGTAGATTTAATTAAATGGGGCAAAAAAACTCTTTATCACGTTCAGTAGTAATTCTTTACCGCCATTATCCACGCTCTGAATTATCTGGCTTGTTTTCTTGAAGCGAGACGACGACGAATACCGACAAGCAATGAGTGTGCGCTATATGCAACCACGGTTTGTAAGTTTGTGAGTGCGTATTTTTTAATTAAACTACTATTATTGCGTTTTATGCTTATTCGACAAACATGCGTATTCACAACGTCACACCAACCATCATCTTCATTCTATTGCTAAAAGCCTGATACCAAAAAAGCCTAATAATTCACACATGCCATATTAAGAGTTCTTGGGGATGATCCCCCTTTATATTTCGGATATACGTATATTAATAATATTTATTTGACAATTTAAAATATATAAACTAGCAAGTTTATATGAGATATAGAGAGATAGACTTGATAGATGTATGATAAAAAAAATTTTCCGGAGTATAGAAGGTTGGAGAAGTTAATAATAAACCAAATATTTGAAGTTTCAAAAGATTACCCAGCACAATTTGCGCTAGATTGATTATCCAAGACGAATAGACTGACGAAGTTTTTCCATTCCACCGTCATCGTCATTTAGACGCACATCATGCTCGATGATTTTTTTAGGCACTGGATTTTTTGGTGGTTGTGCAGTCGAGTGCATTCTAGGAGTATTAAGTTCCTCGATGGATTTCAAACGACTCGAATTTTTGATTGCTATTCCACAAAGCAGTTCATGCATACACCACGGGAATGAAAGCATATATTCTGCCGGCTTATCTCCCAGTTCACCCGCGTAATAAGTGACGTAGTACCAAGCGTAGGCCTTTGCTTCCATTGAATTTTTCTCTTCAAAAGAAACCTGGTTTGAGCCTTCGGGGATAAACTGTCTATTGAATATATCACGGAATTGATGTCTAATGCCCGTCATTGCATCCATAATTGATTTGGATATTTCTCTTGGTTTTTTCTTTTCAATTTTGGTGATGGGGTTAACAATGAATCCGGTAACCACTTCATATTCCGAAGCAATCCCATATTGATTCATAAGACCCCGAACATAAGAATCATATCTCCTTTTTTGAGCACGAGCATCATCCAGAAACTTCTCATATCCTTCCACATAAAGTCTCTGATCAAATACAATATCAGTGGACGGATTGAAATCGTTCACTTGTATCGATCGATATAATTTACCGAGAATCTTTTTAGAGATATAGGTCGGTTTGTGCCCGTTGTCCATGAAATCTGGTACCATTTTTGCGCGAAGTTCACTAGGGAACTCTGCAGGCCGTCCTGTTTTCGGGAAATCTACAGCTTCAGAATGTAGTTGGGCAAGGCGTAAACAACTTCCATGGAATGCTCCATTTTCGTACAAGTCTGCTTTGGCTAAGTGAGCGTTGGCAATCTGTCCAAGATTATCATTGAGAATATAATTGACGAAGAATTTTCGTATATGTTCGACCTTTACTTGGTCAACTTGGACGGGTACTGGCGCATGATACTCCATTGGTGTATAGTTTTTTATTTTTGGGAATAGTCTTTCATCCCAGATTATCCTGTATTAAAAAAATGAATATTATTCAAGGAATAGTCTCAGGAAAGTGCTAATGTTTCATGTTCTATAAACTTACGTATAATCATCTCCATCTAAATCACCTCCACTACATTGATTAGGAATATCGCGGTAACCAAGCGACGAGAAAACAAGCACATCCACCAAATAATCCAACTTTGGACAGTTGACTGCCGTTACCATACGTATATCACCCGGATGGAAGCAAGGATTTCGATAGACAATACAAGGTCCCTCGATTACCTCTTTATGTTTCGGATTGTTAACATCCGATCTGCAGATGTATATTTGATCCTCTTTGAGAGATTCCGTCTCGTCTAACACACCCAATAAGAAGGCACCTTTATGTACGGAAATCTTTGCTTTATCCTTTAAATTTTTCAGCATCATAATGCGGAATAATGCCATCAAATTCGAGAGATACGGATCTCGTTGATGTAGAAACCCGGCTTTTACGAGATCGGCCATGATGCGTGAGATTCCGTGCTCATCGATATTATGAAGCAAAACCTTCATGGCGGTGTGATCGTTCAACAACATTTTTTCAAGCTCTCTCACTTGTTCGTCTTTCATTTGGGTGAATATTTCATCGGGAACTCCCAGTGCTGAAAGCAGTGTAATTGCTTGTCGATTGAGGTAAGCTGGAATAAAGGTTGATCCTTTGATAATTTCTAGCTCACAATGAGGCGAATCGAATTTTAACTGACTGGGCCTTACTTGAATCTGATTTTCTCTTAAATATCGAGACACACACAACACGCCTTTATAGCCTCCCAATCTAAATTGAACGGCTGAAGGAGTAGAACGAAGTTTCATCTTTTCGGCAATCTGTCTCGATAAATTGGGCGAAATCTTCCCGACACCATCTGAAAATGTAAAACCATTTCGGCAGACATCTGGAATAAGTTTAATATCATTGACCGGTAAATGAGCAATAGCGCGGGTGCTTGAAAAGCATTGCCCCATGCGTGCTGCATATTTCGCCACAACTTTAATATCACTAAAATCGCCCATTCGCTCTCTAATATGATCGGCTGTTAAAGTGTCTGATGATGCAAAGAACCAACAACTATGTTCTCTCAGTTGACTGGAGGAAAAAGCCAAAAACTCGTAATGGCGATCTCCTATTTTAATTCCATATTGCAAAGTGCGAAAGATACGATTATATATCGCGTCGTTACTTTGACCAATAGTTGAACTTATTGGGCTGGATCCTTCATCAGTGAACTGAACACGAAGAAAGCGATCTTTGTGACTCTTGAAAAGGCGTATAATGCGATTGGAGGTTTCCATGGTTGGCAGCAAGATATACATTGCTGTGGGTGTGATGACCACTTTCCTCATTAATACGCAATATTCAGGAGGAGTCACATTGTCTGGAATTACGTGGTTGACCATCTTCATGAGATCAGACAATGGATTATAATTGCGAGTTTTATGGCTTACGAATGTCTTCATGATTTCGACAGCTAACTCTTTTGGCAAAGATTTCAAAATCTTGAAAAATTCTTGATCCAGATTGTAATCATGCAGATAATTATGGGTAACGCAACATTCCACCATGTATAAAACGTCGAAATCCAAAGCCCTGCGTTCGACATACTTTGTACCAATTTGCCCAATATTGAGTGGTTTTTTGCCGAAATCTATAGGTTTTTCGGCCAGATTATACTCGCCAGCATGGTTCATCACATCTTTGAATCTTGATAACCTTCCGTCAAGCAAGAATGTGACTCTGTATACGGTCCATTTGCCAAAATGCTCAACACCATCAGTAAACGTCGGTTCAAGCGCCCGCGTTCTCAGATTCTCGTGCGGAATTCTATCCAATAAATCTATTCGCCTCTTCCACATCTCGTTATAAGACCAGTAAAACTTGTCTTGTGGCTTCGACGCCTCGTCCAGGCTCCAGTATTTTCCGGGAAACTTCGTGGCGAAAGTGACTCGCGCCCGGGAATCATGTTCCACATCTAATTCGATGTAGAACTCGCCGTCGACATATTTGAATGGATTCTCCACTTTGTAATGGCGTTTTTGGAATCCGAACTCGACGAGTATCGTCCTTCTTTTATAATCAAGCGAAAAGGACACTTGGTCGTTCGTTTTCCACTCCGGAACAAAAGTGTTCGGCTGTGAGAACACGCCTATTTCGAGTGACTCCGCAGGAAGCGTGTCAACTTTATTTGACCATTTTATACGGTCTTGATTGATGTTAAAGTTGTTGTTGTTGTTGTTGTTGTTGCTGCTGCTGCTGCTGTTAACTATTTCTAATCTCAAAGGCCTTCCATGGAACATAACTTTGTGCATCCAAGCTACCGATTCTGGATAGGGTCTGACCGGTGCAAGTATGATTGTTAAATTGTCAAGTATAAACAAAAATACATAAAATCAAAAAAGCTTGATGCAAAAAAAACTGAAAATTTACTTGTAAGTAACAAAGACCACGCCAGTGGGAGTTGACTCCAAATCTCTTGTATCAATTCTTACTTCAAAGACTCTTCCATGAGCAGAAAAGTGCTCTCTAAGTTCGTCAATAGTAGCTTGAAAAGGCACTTTGCTTACTTTTATTTTTAGTTCAGTGGGACGATGCCTTATAGGGACAGGACCACCACCACCACCACCTCTGTTATAGCTATTCAGATAACGTCCATTGTCATTTCCATTCCCACGGCGACCATTCGTGAATGATCTCATATTATTGTTCATGGTGTTGCCGCTTTTAATACTGTTATAATCGCTGCTGCTGTTGTTGCTGTTGTTGATAATTCCGTTTCTATAGTTTTTATTGTTGTTATTGATTACAAAGCTAGTTCATATTTATAAGATGCTGGTCACTCTTATAAGCAGGAACTCTGTTTTTTAATTATATCATTATTTATATCGTTAGGAGGAACCGTTGAGGTTCCAACAACTTTCCAACAAAATGTAATACGAGCGCACACAGAAAAATTCTCCAAATTTTGATTTTGTGTTCCGCGCCCCTAGTACCCCATCCATCAAATCTCAAAATAGTTTTGAAAATATTTATAAAACATTAATGGGAAGAATTCTTTTTAATTCCGCCTAACAAGACAATTAATAGATAAACTCGCGAATATGGACATCACTATAATTTGAAAAAATAGAGGCGCAAAATTCTCTATTTTCAATTTTAATTATTGATATATGATGTTAAAGCTTCTCAGCATAATATAAACACTATCGAAAAAATTCGATCCTTTGAATGATACAAATATTAATACGTCTGAAAAAACCATACCTTATCCTCAAACTGTCCGGATGGATTCGGATAGATCTTATAAAAGGATAGCCTCGTCCAGCAAGACCCAAAGAAAAATTCCACATCCTTTACATTTGAATACCTTCTTTCTAAAGCTCTGTTCGGATCGGGTCGGATCGGGTTTGAGGTCAACCCGAACCGATAATTTCGGGTCGGGTTTGATCCGAAAATCGTAAAATAGTTTTTCGTTAATAACTT